GTGGCAGAGCTGGATCAGTCCCAGGATCTTGGAGCGGCTGAACACCTCCCGGGCCGCGGAGGCTCCTTGCTTTTCACATCGCGCCACCGCGAGATAACCAGTGCTTCCCTCCGGCGGCTGCCTGGCTCTGCCAGACAAGGTGACTGCGGTAAGCGTTACCCTTTGGACGCCTCCTGCCCATCAGCCTGTTGCCCCAACATCATCTTGGTGAGAGACAGGGCCAAAAAGGCTGCCTAAAGGTGTGGTTGTGGTGCTAGCTGCGACCCTGCAGAAGTAGTACTGCGTTCGAGTTTCTGAAATAGGGATAACGAAATGGCACGTGAGTTAAGAACTTGGCATTTGAATAAATGTGTAGCAGATGGCCTCCCTTGATAGCAGATTGAAGCGGTGGCAGACCAGGTCTCTGTACACCTTAATAATATGGGAGAAGTTTGAAGTTGTCTTGTACCCCAAGACCTATGCATATTCTCTGAAGAAAGAACAGCCCAGAATTACCCGAAGCACTTTCAGCTTGCATGTCAGCTCCAGAGCCCTTCTTGCTAACTTCAGGGCCTCTCCCTCTCCCAGTGATGCATGCTTCCTAACAGTATAACCTTGTAGGGTCCTCTACCCTGGAATCCACACCGGACCCTTGACTCCATTGAGCCAGTACAAGAATGTGGAGAAGACATACTGTATCAGTTCCAGCTCTAACCTTAACTTTTTATTATTTGTTAGTTTTTGGTTTTTGTTTCCCTGAGATGCTCCTGCTCTTCCACCTTGGAAAGATTCATGCAGAAGCCACATGGAGAGGAAAGACCCCCGGGCATGAACCTGGTGAGCCCTTCCTAATTGGAAGGTCAGTCACTGCGTGAAGAAGCCGTCTGGAGTGTTTTAGCCATCTGTGTTGTTCCACTGTATTAGTCAGGGTTCTCTAAAGGAACAGAACTGATGGAATGAATATGTATGTGCATATATATATGAGATTTGTTAGGTTGGCTTACAGGATGCAGTCCAAATAGTCCAACAATGGCTGTCTCACACTAGAAAGGATGAGAGTCTGGTTGTTGCTCCATCCACAAGGCTGGACTCAGCAGTCCCAGTTTGGTACTGGAGTCCTAGAGGATTCCTTGAGAGCTGCCGATCTTCAGTCTACACTGGAATTCTAAGGAAGGCAGTTCTAATATTGGTGAGTTAATGCCACAGAAACAGGATAGTTGAACTTGCCGCCAAGAGTAAGGGTAAGCAGGCACAGGGAAAGTTTCCTGCTTCTCTGTCCTGTTATCTCAGCTGCCATGAGAAGGTGCTGCCCAGATTTAGGGTGAGTCCTTTTGCTTCCAATAATCTGATTAAGACAGTTCTTCACAGATGGGTGGTAGTGGCTCAGGCCTTTAATCCCTGCACTCAGGAGGCAGAGGTATATGGATCTCTGTGAGTGCAAGTCCAGCATGGTCAAAAGAGTGAGTTCCTGGACAGTGAGGGCTACACAAAGAAATTCTGTCTTTAAAAAAAAATGTTTTAGTTGATCCCAGATGCAGTCAAGTTGACAAGATTGTTCACTGTGTCTGTATTATCTAAAATAGGAACAAATCTGGCTGGGTGGTGGTGGGACATGGCTTTAATCCCAGCACTTGGGAGGCAGAGACAGGCAGATAATAGCTCCGTGAGTTCGAGGCCAGCCTGATCTACAGAGCAAGTTCCAGGACTACACAGAGAAACCCTGTCTTGAAAAACAATAAATAAATAAATAAATAAATAAATAAATAAATAAATAAATAATAAATAAGGAACAAATCTTACCATTGCCTAATCCAGGGATAAACTCATTGCTGTTTTAGCCCTGCTTTAGAGAGGTTAATCAGAACTTTGCCTCATAACTCTTGGACTATGCAGAGTGCATACCTATGCAGATACTTCAGAATTTGGGCATCTGGTTCTGGGAAACAAAGAAAACCCGGAATGCACCTATGACACCTCTCTGATTAACCTCAGAGTACAGAATTCTAAGATTCTAGAACATGCTCCCATAGCTGTGCCAGTGCCGAGCTCAGGTCCTGACCTTCCTCGTTGATTCCCTGCAAGCCAGGTGGAACTGAGCTAGACAACAGCCTCACTCCAGCCCTCCAAAGGCTCTAACACTGGGGTCTAGTCTTCATGTTTGTTCATTTCCTTTTTTTTTGTTTGTTTGTTTGTTTGTTTGGGTTTTTTTTTTGTTTTTGTTTTTTCCTTTCCTCTGTAGTGTCCTTTGTAAGGCTGTTTGGAAAGGGTTAGAAAGAGTGGCCTTGTTGGATGATGTGTGTTATTGGGGGGTGGGGGAGCTCTAATTTCCAAAAGCCCATGCCAGACCCAGACCCATGCTCTCTCTACTTCTGCCTGTAGATCAGGATGTAAGTGCTTAGCTACTGCTCCAGTGCCATGTCTGCCTTCCTGCCACCACGCTTCTTGCCATGATGATAATGGACTCACCCTCTGAAACTGTAATTAAGCTCCAATTAAATGCTTTCTTCTATAAGTTGTTTGGTTGTGATATTTCTTCACAGCAATAGAGCAGGCACTAAGATAGGGCTATTCTCATTCAAACCACCACATGATCTATGAGCAGTGCTTACACAGACAGGTTAATTAGTGCCTCTGCTACTTGGGTTCTTAACTCTCCTGACACTGGATCAGTTCCCAGGAGAGCAGGTTGTTATACAGTGAGTTCAGCTTCCTTGGGTTTCTCTTGCTTCTCTCTGCATATACTCACTGGCCTGCTTCTTTCCACTGTGGGTTGAAACACCACAAGGTTCTCACTACATCTTGGGCATCCCCAGAGGCCAAAAATCAACCTTTTTCTTATAATTTTCCTATTTCGGATATTGTTAATGGCAATAGAAAATAGACTAATAAGACAATTTCTCGAAAACTGGAGCCTGAAGCATCATTTGAAGAAATGGTTTATTGGGAGAATGCTACCATAAGAAGCACAGTGAAGGGAGAAAACTCAGGAAGGAGAGCTGAGCAAGGTTGTGGTCTTATTGGAGTTGAGCTTCAGCCTGATCCCTTAGAGAACCTTGGAATGTGAACTGTACCAGAGTTAAATCTGCTTTGAAGTAATGGAGGGACAGCCTGCCCCTATCTCATTAAGAAGACAACACTAACAATAAGAACCAGTTAAGAAAATTTGGTAGGAGTGCTAATAACATAGTTGTTGTATGTCTACTGTGAAGCAAGGCTTAATTGTTGCCCTAGTAAGAGCTATCTGATTGGCAATCTGGCTTTTCCCAAGCATCACCAGCACTATTTAAAACATCAGTATATTTTAGTATTCCAAACATCACCTTATATTTTAGTTTATGTAAGAACGCTGATTCTCTAGCCGGGCGGTGGT